GTGTGTGTGTGTGTGTGTGTGTGTGCGTGTGTGCGTGTGTGCGTGTGTGTGTGTGTGTGTATACACACACATCCCTACAAAAAAAAAAATCAAAAAAATCAGCGCATCGCCAATTTGCGCACGGCGCATGGCACACGCGCATCGCACAGCGCACCGCAGAAGTGCGCCGCAAGTATGGTTCAATCCCATGCAGCTTTGTGGATAGACCCAAGGGTAGACGGATCCAAGAGCTGGTTTTCATGTGCGAGGTACAAAGGCAGTATGAATCTCTCTCTCATGGGAGCGCGTTCCACTGTTCCCCTTTCTTTAACTTTTCTGCACTGGATTGAATGGCTAAGATCAAGTGGTGTTACGATCCTGGCTATTTCCGAAGTGCAAATTCACACGGAAAGACAATGCCACCCAATTGCAAAAGAAATGAAAGCACTCGCAAAGAGATAGAGACCAAAGAAGAAGGAAGAAGAAGAAGAAGAAAATGTACACCAGCAAGACCAATGACAAATCCCCCTTCTCTCTCCACTTTCCTCTCCTCCTTGTCTCCACCAATCTTATTCTCCTCCCAAATAATAATAATGACAATGAGTGGTTGAACCAGAATCAATATCCGAAGTTCCCTCTTACTACCAGCACAACAAGAGGTCCACCATAGCCATGGCCTCCCTCTTCTCCTTCCTCACACAGGCCTAGACCACAAATGAGGTAGAGCCCAGCGCTCGACCTGGAGATATAACGGCCTACTTGCCTCTTGGGCGGTGACTTCCAAGCCGCACGGCCTCCAAGCAACCGGTACCTCCTCCCTTTCAGAGGGAAACATCATTGCAGGCTCTGATATCGTCCGCACAGGCCCTAGAGTCAGGCTACTTGGACTGGTACCCGCCTACCTCTAGCCTACCGCTACTGGGCCTCTAAAAATGCCAACTTTTTGTCTTCTTCTGCTCGGCCTTCAGTTCCCGACACATCTACTGCTACTTGAGTGGTACAGGCCTACCTGCTACTTGAGTGTTTTTCCAGCGATGCCCTAAGTGATTCGGGCCTACTCCCCGCTACTCAAGTGTTTTCCCTGCCGCAACCCTCAAAGTCATGGCCACAGGTAAGTACCGGGCCCACAAGCCTCACAACACACAAGTGCCCTGTCGGGCCTCACACACACTCAGGCAGATGTGCACTCAGACAGGCACACACACACACACACACACACACACACACACACACACACACACACACACACACACACACACGCAGACTTAGAAAACTCAGCACAACGCGGGAATCTCAGCAACACATACATTCCAGCAGCAAAACCCAGAAATCAGCAGTGTTCTCAGTCTGTGTTTTAGCGGGTCATTACAGTAGTATCTGTTCTGATCAGTTAAGAAAAAAGAAAAGAAAAAAAAGGAATCAACTTTTCATTGTTTTCAACTATATTCAGAGATCAGGCATCAGACAGGGGGTTACGTCAACAGACAGAGAACCCTTAGGGAAATGGGTTAATAAATATTAAAAATAGGTGAATTGATGAACGGATGGATAGATCCAAGCATTCAGGTAAAATTGTGGGCGTTGAGAACCTGTCGAAGGGTTCTTGGAGTAAAGTGAGGTAAGCTTTTCTGGGCCTGAACATCATGAAAGGGTAGTTAAATCAAGGCTTGTTTTTTTTTCGCTGACATCCTCCGGTGATGCTTATATCATGGTAGGGGAGTGTGGATCTGCTAAGTTATGTGTCTCAGAATAAAATAAGGGGGCTGGCATTCATGCCACCTGTTCATCAGAATCAAAAAAATGGGTCTCGAAATTGTAGCACCTCCAAAACCACAAGGTTCCAATAAGAGACGCAATGGAACGGTCTCTTTCGAGTGAATAAAATGTGCCGCTCCTAGTTTTTATCACAGTTATTGGAGGTGGTGCTTTTTCGGCTCGAGCCCACGGTTACCTCACAAAAATCCTAAGGTCGTTGAGCCTAAGGAGGCCCATAAGGCTCTCTCGAAAGACTGGTACAGTACTTATATCCCACAGCAGCCACAGTGTTTCCCAATATATAGGTGAAGTCCTTGGGCCTGGGAAGGCCCCCGGGGCTCTAATAAGTAAGAGAACGACTGGAACTAAGATTTATGGGCCCAGAGGTGGGACTCTGGCCCCCTTTTTGACCTCATCCCCCTTGCGGTAAGTTAGCTAAGGGGTTTCACCACCAGGTAGGGGGTTCCTCAGGGTGTCCGTCCCAGAAGATGGGAGTAAATTCACCTGTACAAAGAGTCAAAGACTGTAAATTGGGTGCAGGGACAACCAGCACTTCTTTCTCTCCTTTTGTAATTTGGACCACTTCTCGATTTGTGTGTGTCATCCCTGCCCAGGTGCCATGTTGATGTTCTCCACATCATTCCAATGTCAACCGATGTCCGGAAGGACACAACCAGCGCTCCTTTTCTAGTCTTCTTTCGACTTTTTTTTTTTTTTTCTGGACCAAACTGCATTGCTTTAGGAATCCAAGGACCTCCTCTTCTGAGGGAGGTCAGTCCATCATGGTCATGCACATCGGCCAGCATAGTTCAGGCTGATTGTTAAAAATAGTAAGGCCCGGTTCATGTGAGAATCATGTTCACCTCAAGTCTTAAACAGCCAGTTCACCCCAAGCAGAGTACTGCTGTTACCGGTTTACGCGGTAAGTCCGGGTAACAGCATTTTGGTTTGAACCCGGGTCGGCAGTGAAAGCGGCAGGCCACTTTGAAAAGCTCAGTTGCAGGGTTGTGAGCCTTGGAAGCTATAGCTTTGTCAACATGGTTGAAGGTGAACTGGTAGTTTAAGGCTTTTGTCTGGTGGTGTCGAAGGTGCCGAAGGGAGAAAAAGACAAAGTCCCAAAACGACTGGACAAGACAGCCTTGTACATGATATTGCTACTGTTATCACAAGCCCGGCCCATCGATTGGGGATGTAACGAGTCTTATACAACTAACCACTGTGCTGATGTCAGCAACGGCTGCAGTTATCTCTCCTCCCTTGTCAAGCAAAGCTGACACAACAGGCGTTGACTTCCCTTTGACCCGCAAGATCCCTGCAAGAATCGGCAATCGTCAAGCACGATGAGACCAAATTAAATTTTATATTGACTATATTCAGCCTCCTAATGAGTCGGTGAAACTCCGACGAAACAGTTTGTGACAGCCCCTCGTTTTTTGTCCTCTTCTCCCGCCGCGGTAGGATGCGTGCAGATCAACGGGTTGATTTCAAAGAGCTACCCCATTACCTGTTCCATGAGACAGGGTGATCCACTGGCTCCTCCAATCTTTCTTTTTGTAATGGAGGCCATAGCGTCCTTTCTTTGCAGATATCCCCCCAATTGAAAGATTACCGGAAGTCAATGCTGACAATGCTCATCACATAAAATTCCCTACAGTCATCATGTTTGCAGATGATCTAACGGTTCTGATTCCAGCTTCAGACTCATCTCTTGGCACATTGGTCCAAGCTATGGAAGGCTCAAACTAGCATCGGAAATGAAGATAAACTGGGAAAAGACAGTTGGATGGTGGCTGTCAGACGAGGAAACCTTGCGATTGCACAGGCGGGAGAGTCAGATGGCATGGGAGAGACCGAAGCGACTGACTAGATACCTGGGCATCCAGGTCACAAGGGATGGCCCCTTCCCACAGATGGCTCAGAATTTGCTAGCCAACCATATCAACAGAATAGGAAAATGGGGCAAAACTCTCCTCACTAATGGGCAGAGTCCTCATCATTACCACCTCGATCTTCTCTATGATGTGGTATATAGCTTCAATTTGGACGATACCAGATGATACTCTGTGAAATGCTACTAAACACTTTAGTGGGAGCATTTTATGAACCCATTGCTGCAGTAACTGTTAGTACGCAGAGCAGGAGTTCGAATCCTCTTGGAGTCAGATAAATAGTAAATACAATAATCTTAAGGAGAGGGCCTACCTCCTTTTATAAAAAAGATAAAAAGGGATCATATCAACACAATAGAATGAAAATAAAAACCAGGCTGTTGAATGAATTATACATCATGTAAATCCATAAGACTGTCAATTGGTATAAATCACACACAAGTTTGAACTACAATCAAGAGTTAAAACCGCCCTTTTTTTTTTCTTTTAATAAAATGTGATCACCACTTGTGCTTAGACCACAGGAATCCGAGCTATCAATTGCCATAAGTCACAGTGTCAAACCACAGTCATGAGTTGAAAGTTTAAAGTTTAAACCACATTTTTTGAAATAGTGCTCACCTCTTGTGCTTAGACCACAGGACTCCCAGTACGATACCAGAGTGTCCCCTGCATATCCCAACCGCAGAGAGAAGAACAGTGACAAACAGTTTCAGTATATCCAGTGTCAGTCCTATATGTGTGTTCCTGCGCTCCAAATGTGGCCTTTGCTTTGGGCACAAACAATACTTTTCTTTTTAACATGTCAAGAAAAAAAGGGTACATACTACATACTACATAGTACAGTGTACCTTTCTCGGCCTTTGGCTAAGGTCAGACAGAATATATGATCTGTTCTGATCAGTTGAACATCTGAGTTGTGGTTCACAGGACCGCATTACCGAAGTAAATCAACGGAAATGAAATGAAATGAAAATCATAGAAGGAAATAACGTGTATCATGTTAGATGATGCAATCTTTTTTCTTTTTTTTTTTTATAATTGCAAGGAACATGAATATGGGGCTCAATCCTCACATAATGGGTCGACGCCCTTGAGATATCATCATTGAAACTGACCGGCCCAAGGTACTTCAGAATTATATTGTTCTGGAACTTCTAGTCATCTGATTGTATTTGGATTCGAACTTGGGTCTGTATTTCAACGGTTCAGGGGTGTACCAACTGAGCTGAACTCGTTGGTATGATGCAATCTTGGTCAAGGAGGCCATTGTTTACCAAAGAGAGTACGTATGACTACTATAAAATTACAAATAGATTCAGAAGACTCAGATTAGATTTATGCAGGGACGGTCGAAAACATCAGCAAGACATCACATGAGGTTAACTTCCATGAATAGGCAGACATAGAGGCAAAAGAAGAAGAAAAAAGGAGAAGGTGGATCTTGAGGTGAGGGCCTGTTGAAGGTGTCTATCACCGCACAGACCTGCTGGATCATCGCCAACAACGCTTATCAGGAAGGGAGTAACACCGAGCAAGGAAATGCATTCACCGATATTCCGTGCAACTCCGCCATGCGCAAAGCATACCTGTAGTCAACCATTCAGTGAGGGGGAAAAAAAAGACAGTTGAAGTATTGAGAGAACCTCCTTGCATTGTTGTCTTTAATGCAGGCACTGCAGTATGTGTCAGACATACTCTGTGCCCAGCATGGACTCGATTGTGTGTTACCTTGCCATGTTGTACCTGCCTTGCATCAAACAAAGTAGTAGAGGAAGTGATGGATGTACCTCTGTGTGCAGATGATGTACCTCTGTGTGCAGATGATGTACCTCTGTGTGCAGATGTACTTTTGTTTGCTTGCAGCAGCAGATAAAGACGCAGCATACAGCTTGCGATGATGCTGTTTGCTGAAAACAGCACACAAGAAAGTTCTTGCAGCAAACAAACAGTTCTAGATAGACTTCATTGAGTGATAATGCTGGAGTTGGGGGGGATGGTTCCAATCTGTGGTCAACACAAATGGCAAGGTAGGGTCAGGGTTTTCCAGAGATGGTCAAGACAAACGGCAAGGTTGGGTCAGGCAGCTTAAGCACAGGTGCTTCGGTAAGGGCTTTCTTCAGTCTGGAGAAAGCCAACTGACATGTCGGTGTCCATCTGAAAGGAACAGCCTTAGCCAGCAGGTCATTCATGAGTCTGGCCTCCTACTATAGGAAGTTCATCAAGAACTTCTCTACAATAGTCACCCCCTTGACTAACCTGCTGGCTCAGGATGTCCCTTTCAGATAGGCACCGACATGTCAGTTGGCTTTCTCCGGACTGAAGAAAGCCCTTACCCAAGCACCTGCGCTGAAACTTCCTGACCCTACCTTGCCATTTGTGTTGACCACAGATACAAGTCGGTATGGTGTTGGTATTTCTCTTCAGCAAGACGATGGGACTGGCCTGAGGCAGGTAGAATTCATGAGTAAGAGCGCATTTATTGGTGCTCTCAAACAGTGGAACACTTCTTGCTGGGAAGACACTTCAAGATCTATTCCGATCACTCAATCTTGCAATGGATGAAAATCCAGGGGGAGTTGAATGACAAGTTGGCGAGATATATTCAGTTCATTCACGTCTTTGACTTTGAGCTGAAACATAAGAAGGGATGCTATAACAAAGTCGCTCATGCGCTTTCTCGCAGGCCTGACACCTTTGGGGTTCTACCAGGCAGGCCATTGCAGACATGTTGCCTCATGACCCTGTCTTCGGCACTATCGTTAGGAATATGCAAACAGACCCCAATTCTGGATATGCTCTGACTTCAAACCACCTGTACACAATCAGTGAGGGAGAGGAACGTTTGTGCATCCCTAATGACCACAAGATCATCACTGATCCAATTTCAGAGAGTCATTATGCTCGTGGGCATTTTGGGTTTTTTGAAGACCTACACAACCCTAATTCTACTGGTTCAAGATGAAAGAGGATGTACTGCAGTGCTTTGAGACCTGTGAGTTGTGTCAAAAGAACGAGGTCCTCAGGCGTCCTCCTATGGGACTGCTCAAACCTTTACCCATCCCTAATGGTCCATCCGAGTCTGTATCCATTGACTTTACTGACCTTGGAAAAACCACCCCTCGTGGGATGAGACAGGTAATGGTTTGCATTGACCGTTTCTCTCAGTATGCTGAGTTTATCCCCTTACCATCTGAGGCCAGAGTGCCTCAACACAGGTGCTTCAACCTTGAGAAAGCCAATTGCCCCATCTTTTCTAGGGAATGTCAATCCAGTTGCTTATTACAGGCATGCAAAGCTCACAAAGATAAAACATAATGGGCAGGATTTTCCCCCTTTCACATAAGCAACCAAGAGGGGCAGGGTAGGGGGAGCCAGGTGGGAAACCATATGAACATCACTCCTCGGGGAGACCAGTCGCTGCATCCATACGCCGTCAAGATCTGTCCTTTGCCACCTCTTCCTTCGCCCACACAATCCCCTATAACCTTGCCCAAAAAACACCACTTTCGTCTTGTGGCCGCTCGCAACATTTCGTTCCTGCAACCTGGCAGTACAGCAATACTTACAACAAAAGCTTTTGTACAACAAATACGCATTATCACTGCAAACAATGTCACACCCAGAGGAGCGGTCCATCCCGTCCTGGTTGTTTGACTTTTCAGATATGTGGGCTATTTGGCTATTGGCTGTTTGGCTACACCCCACCACGACTTTTTGGATATCTGGCTATTTGGTTATTCCAACTAAAGGTTTAAATATATCCCTTGCACTGTCAACGGCTGCTCAGCATACAACGTGTGTGTGTGTTTTTAAAACCCCGAATTATCTCTCTCATTATATCCACGACTCATCAAAATCATCAATAGAACCAAAGAAATATAGATACGCAAGATAGTAAGAGATGCAAGGTTGGCCATGTTTGTGTGGCTAAGCGCCAGGTGCCCGCACATATATTTTATAGTCCATAAAAGGATGGAGGGCAAAAAGGCAACATACCTAGCACAGAAGTTTCTACCAGCAAGAAATCACCGACCCCACCACCAATGGTTCAAAAAGACTTGGAGAGAAACCACAAAATTAATTACACAAGCACAGCGGCACTGGCACTGCTATTCATCCCAAACGACCCGCTCACGTCAGCACCATCTCTATCACTCCATGGCTATACATCCCCCATTCATGATTTAGCCTCTGGAGTGTATAGAGTACCATGATTCCAAACTCCACAAAATCTTCACGTGACACCAAGAGCACCACCGCTTAAAACACCCTAGAAGCTACTCCATCTTCCAAGTGCTCCAAAAGAGCAGCCTATGGAAATGACACCCACAACAAACACTCTCTAAGCCTCCTCGTGAAGATATTGTGGTCAGAACTCCAAACATACATTCCCACCCCCAAAAACCATTGTCGCCACCCTTCATCGACAAAACAGCCCATGCTCTAAAGCAGGGCAAAGAATTCGGCCATGTATGATCTATATCCAACCACAGAAAAGAATAGCTTGCTAGTACAAGCACAGTCCTAACCGCTCAAATCTGCAAGAATAGAGAGCTAGCAAGACCGGAATGTGTGTGTGTGTGTGTGTGTGTGTGTGTGTGTGTGTGTGTGTGTGTGTGTGTGTGTGTGTGTGTGTGTGTTCAATGGTGTCATGCTCCAGACCTTGCAGACTCATCCCCACCATCATCGTCATCTTCCAGCATAGCAAGAGCCACCACGTCCAGGTGGCATTCCAGTACACCCACAGAAAATAAGACTGTGTGCAGTGTGTGGCATACAAGGCAACCCCACTAGGGGGATTTGGGACAATGACTTACAGTTTGCTAAACTTAAAATTAGATCACCAGAGCAGCAGGGCATAAATTCCATAGTTACAAGAGGAGCTTCTCCAAGCATGTTTGTGTGTTCAAAATTGAAACGCCTCATCTGTTATCCAATATGCTATGATCCTGTCCACTTCATGAAGCAAGACTCAACTTTGAGACGATGCCAATCATTGCAACTCCAGAAGAAGTGGAATCGGATTAGGGGATGAGAGGAAAGAAGAAGAAGAAGAAGAAGAAGAAGAAGAAGAAGAAGAAGAAGAAGATAGAAAGAAAGAAAGCAGAAGGAAGAGGAGGAGGAGGAAGATGAAGAAGAAGAGGAACACAAGATTCGAGCAATGTCAGATCCCTGCCCCTCTCGCCTAATCTTCATCCCTCACATAATCGCCTCCTTTATTACTATCAATATATTACAACAATGAAAGAATGAACGAGAATCAATGTCAGAATGATCGTCTCCCCTCTTGCTCCTACTCACTCCTCCATAGCCATGGAGGTCTTCTACATCACCCTCTGGCTCCTCCTCTTGACCCGAGTGCTCCACCACCCTGTAGGCGGAGCAGCATCATGACTGCCAGGTGCATACCCCAACTACTCACTGCACCGACGGAGTGCTCTTCCTGGCCTACCAGCTCCCTATTTTGGCGGGAACATCATCATAGACTGTAATCCTACCTGCAGGAACCCTACCTAGACCTAATCCTAACTGCATTCAGTCGGTGCCATCATGAGCCTACATGCTATCCTACTCAACCTCAGGGCTTACCAAGGTTACTGGAATATCCCTTCCAGGGATAGCTAAATCTCAGTCCTACCCCTGTAACTCCGTCCAGCGAAACGTAAGTCCTACCCCTCTAACTACACCTATTTATACTCCTATCCCTTCCCGGATAACAGAGGCACAGCACGTGAACAGAGTTAGCACACGGCCACAGACTCAGACTCAGCATACGTCAAATAGACTCACGGACACACATACAGCACAGCAAGGCACCCAGACTCAGAAATCTCAGCAGATTAGACCAACAGACAACTTGTGTGTGTGTGTGTAAACGGGGTCGTAAGACCCTGGCTCCATATCCATTCCGGGGAGTGTAAGTCTGGTTCCTATTCCACCAGCAAGTCAAAATTATACATAAGACATGCACTCCAATGCTTCTCCCCACTCTGGCTGGGAGACCCGAGTGGCGGCATTGATTGCTTCCCTTGGGAAGGATATACCACCCCTCACCCCTGCCTAAGCTAGCCTGTGGCACTACTAATCAGATTGCAGACCCCAACCATTAATCGAAGAATTGTACAATACAGCATGTGCAGCCCTTAAGCCCTGGATGGGCCCATAGTCCATATAAACCCTTAGAGGTCCTTTGCGGCGATCAGGCAGCCCTTCAGCATCCTCCTACCTTCCAGTATCAGAGAATTCAGATTTCAAGTGTGCAGTCATTGCAAAGAAGAAAAAAGGCATGACTGCTCCTTACTGATTGAGGCCAAACACTCAGAATTCTTCAATCGCATCTCACTTTGAGCATAGTCAAATACATTCTCGAAAGTCCTGGCATGAGTATATGCCATGAGTCCCACTTTTGCCTCCCAGGCTGGCCTTGGATTTGTGAGTTTCCTCTTTGCAACTTGGACAGAGAGTTTCTCTGTCCAAATTTGGGAATTTCCACCCACAATCAGCTTTTTTTTAGGTTCCTCAAACCCATACAATTGGGAGCATTGTTTGGCCCACAAGGTAGCAGTGCGACGGAGAGCTGATTTACTCCTTAATCACATGGAGTTGACTCAAAGCCAATGTTGGGTCTATAGGGGCAATGTTAAGATTTTCAAAATTGCGGCACTCCATGCCTGAAGCGAGTGGCCCAACACTCTTTGGCATCCGCAGAGGAATGACTGAGAGGCTGTAAAACAGAATTATCGTACTTTGGTAGTGATTTCATAATTGAACAAGTCCGAGTCTATTATGTTCGATTAACTTTGATATGAGAAAGATTGGATTCTCGGTGTGAATCGACCTTATTGTTTGGCCAAACAGATTTGTAACTTGGTACATGATATTTGTATTAATTTGAGAATATCCTTGAAGATAGAGCTTGGCGATGAAGTGAAATTCTTGTCTACACTTATCAGTCAATCCAATCTCAGTCAGACTCAATGTGAATCGTAGTCCAGATTCTTGTTGGTTTAGTGAGGGCGACTGTGCAAGTCACCAAATGAATTGCCCACTTTGGCGTAGTCAAGTGGGACGTTGCAGATGTCCGCAACGAGACGGACACGACTTATTTCATGCGTGGAGAATGCATGAAAGACACCTGGAATGACGAAGTCATTCCGGGGACCATAGCCTGCCGTAAAGGAGATCACTGGATTTAGCCAGTCCTTGGAAGATCTCTGACCGTGTCTTCGAGATGCAGTTGAACGGGGAGTTCGTGAACGCGAGTGTTCTTGTAAGTTATGTCCAATTCCAGGAATATATGCAGTGACTTCAAAACTTGAGCTAAGACGCACTCTAGCTACTTCTCTTAGCGAAGAGTTCCAAACAGGTTGACGTGAAAAGAAATTAATGAGGGCCCTGCGTCAATTTGACTACCTTCAGTGACTTCAGCAATGCCGTGCCAAAGCGGAACAGAAATGGATTGCCAAAATAGGAAGGTAGGAGAGGGGCCAGCAATTGTTGCTCATCTGCCGAAAAAAAGATACCAGTTCCAAAGAATCAGTGAATGTAAGAAAGGCAATTGCTGTTTGTCTGCCAAGACAACAGTCGCAGAGAACCAGTTAATGTAATTAGAGAAGGCAGAACAGGACAGAAAAGGAAAGCAGGGGTGAAATATGGAGAGGAAGGATGAGCAACATACGTGCCTGGTGACTGAATGGTACATACTACGTGCTACATACCCTGTTAGCAGGAAAGGACTGGCTACCTCGCCAGTAAATGATGGCAGGGGTTCTAGGTATCTTCTTTGCCTGAGCAGGTCTGACGAAACAACTCCCTTGGATCCCGGAGTGGATATATAGGTGGGTTACCGTAGAAACAAATTGCATATCATAAAACTGATGGGCATTCAATAATTCAGCATTTTCTTTCACCAAAAATTTGGACCATTTCTCAATTTACGTGTGTCATTGTTGTGCAGGGGCCATACTAATCTTCTCTTTGCCGTTTCAATGTCAACAACTGTCGGAAAGGACAACATACTACATACCTAGAATTGAGAGATGGGAAAAAGGAGAATAGGACAAACGACACAGGCGATGTGAGGACAGAAGGCAGAGAAACGAGGAAAGGAAAGAGGACAGGATAAAGAAGGAAATGCAAGATTACAGGGTAAGACAGCAGACAAAAAAGGTACAAAGGAAAGGAGACGCAAGGTGGAAAGGGTTTGCAAAATGACTGTTACATACGAGAAGGTAAAAATGGGATAGAGAGTTTAAGGGGCAACCTTTCCTCATCCTTTTGGCTGAATGGTACACACAAGTATCCGTCGATAAACAAATCAAGGGTTCAAATCCCAATGGATACAAGAACACTCAGGGGATAACTCCCTTCCAAAATATTTTGTTTGTTTCAGTTCTTTTCTAATAAAAAGAGTGGGATAGAGAGAGGACAGGCCAACCTTTCCTGGTGCTGTTGTTCCTCTTCGGATCTGATGCTGCTGATCTGGCATGGACTGGATATCAAGCACCATTCCTCCTACTACAACCGGCCCTGTCCATAGGCCATCCTTACTCCTCGTTCTCTCCTTGGACAGCCAGACATCATCACTCTACCACCAAAGCCACCAACCGCAAGTTCAGCGTCAGGATGCACGGACTGAGGAAACAGGGTTTAGGGTTTAAGGCATACTTTTAAAAAAAGGGGGGGGACAAATAAAATGGTAAATGAGAATAGCACGCCTTCCGGGAGGGGTAGACGAGGGGAGAAGAGTTAGGCCGACAGGGATAAAGGATGAGCTCTTTCTAGGAGACACAGCATTATCTGGCAGATCTGACCTCCAGATCTGAGAGGAAAGAGAGGGATATGGCAAGCTGACAGTCAATCCTCCACCTAGGTGGAGCAATCAATGCTGTTCAGGGGTCCTTCGGCCGAACGGAAGGAAGCAAGGTGATTTCATGTATTCTCTATTCTGACTTGCCAGTGGAATAGGAACCGGACTGTCGCTCCCCAGAATAGAAGGAGCCAGGACCTTAAGACCCTGTTTAAAAAATAAATAAATAAAAAATAAAAAATAAAAAAGAATCTCCAACGTGTATACTTTGCATGGACTTGTGCTCTTCTCCAAACAGACAGACAAAACCCAACAGAGACATAGTGGGAAGAAAACACCTTCCTTCTCTGAGTGAGAGCAAGCGATGATTCACATGCGCGCACACATGACAGAGAGAGGACCGCGGGGGGGGAAGGGGGGGTGGAGAGAGAGAGAGAGAGAGAGAGAGAGAGAGAGAGAGAGAGAGAGAGAGAGAGAGAGAGAGAGAGAGAGAGAGAGAAGATGCAGTGTGCAAGAGTGGCAGTGGAAGTTAAGACTGCATTGCCTGGGGGGAATGGGGAGGTCTGAACAACCTGGATCAGACCAGACATGCAAGCAGGATCAAGCTACATGCAGTCATAGGGTCATGCAGCAGCACAGTGAAAAACCGAGGCAGAAAGAGTGGAGGGGTGAGGGCTAACCTCCCAACCATGTGAAGCAACGGAGGGAAATGATTCTACGGACAGGTCCACAGCGAGCTCCACACGTATTGGTTCCATATTTAGCTCCATACTCAAGTCCCCACTCATATCCATATTCAGGTCCAGGGTGCTGTGGATTGTGTGCAGCTGTTCATGAGAAAGCTGATAACCAATGTTGATGGTGAGAATCAATTAACTCGAGTTCCCAGCCTGACCTCCCGTACCCTCTGGTTAATGCAGTGCTACAGTAAAGCTCGGTCTACCAAGGTCATCCACACATACACAGGGTTGGTTGAGCCGGTTGTGAGCATGGACATCCGAGAGCACAGCAGGCATGGACAACACAAAAGCAGCAAACAAAACCAGGAACAAATCTGAAATGAATGAACAGACCAAGGTATGTACATGAATATACCCGGGAGATTAGGTACTGACCTGGACTCCGTTCCTACTGCTCCAGGAGCAGACCAAACGGCTTGGGAATGGCCTCGACAGCTGAACCACCCGCTAAAACGGTACTGCTACAGAGGCAAAGTTTTCTAGGTTTATCGAAACCCTTGCATCCACATTCAGTCTGTTCAGTGACAGGTTCTGTAGCCCACTTTTCCAAGTTGTGCACCTGATCTAGGAGGTATCATCCATCCTCCTATCTACCAAACAGTGAATTGTGTCTAGAATATGGGCCCTCCTGGTTATACCACTGCAACCCTTCAAAAACTGGGGATTTTCAGATTGTGTGTATGGTATAAGTCAGGAAGGATCATGTGGTGCAACTTTCTGGCACTGTATGAACACGGAACCTGTCCATTCCTGCTCGCTCTCATATTGTCCTGAGAACAATGCCCCTGTTTGCTATGGTATGAAGTTATGAATCCCCAACAACGCACATTCCCGGTTCATGTGGTGGAACCTTTCTTGAAATGCTATAAACCCGGAAGACTGCATATTACTATGGCAATATAGGTTTCGAGCAATGGATCTTTGTGGATTGTCAGTTGGTACCCGAAAAATAAACCCGCCACATCTCTGTGGATTGTCAGTTGGTATCTGTAAAATAGACCTGCAACAAAAATTTAGGCCTACCGGTTGACAGCAAGGGGTCAAAATATGTGTACTTTCACCTGCCGGGCCCATCAAAGGCTTTCTTCGAAGTGAAAAAAAAAAAAAAAAACTCCTATCACGCCTGGCCAGAGGCCCTAGCCCTCTAAATCCTCGCAATGTGTCTATTGTGACCTCTTGGAACCCTGTCGGGGAAGATGCAGCCTTTGCCCCAGAGTGCGCTGAGCCACCCCATGTTTCTGGTCACATGTTTCTGGATTCGTTCCAGAAAGCCCTTGCCACCCCACATTCCTGGGATGAGTTGACAGAAGGTTGGGGGTGGGGGGGCGGCGGGAGTGCGCAGCCAAGAAAAGGGGAGGGGGACACATCTAGATGTGTATAAGAGACAGCTACTAGAGTCCTTCGGGACATCCCTTAAAATTGGAACGATACATTGACGATTAGCATGGCTCCCTGCACAGAAGATTAGTAGGCCGTGGTACAAAAAGGCAGTCCCGACATCGGAGAGGTGCTAAGTTTGTGCTAAGCTACCATGCACCCGTCAGCCAGTCTTACAGCCAGATTGCTGTTTTTCTACCATCGTAATAGCACAAAAGACCCTCGGGACATCTGTTAAAATTGGAACGATACAGAGAAGATTAGCATGGCCCCTGCGCAAGGATGACACGCATAAATCGAGAAATGGTCCAAATTAAAAAATAAAAAATAAAAAGAGACCGCGGTACTATGGGGCATCCCCCACCGGTATCCTACACTTATATTATGTTCCATCAAGTTAGCATGAACCCGCAATAGCACTTTGTCGACAGCGCGGGTGTCAAATGTAGCAGCTACATTCGGGGCGTAGTCCACACACGGCCCAGTTCAAAAACGGCAAAAACGGTGTACCGGCAGAGGGCTGCTATTTTGTGCTTTTTTTTTCTTTTTTCTTTTTTTGGTGGAACTCAAATCTCATTGCCAAGTTGGAGAGAGGCCGGGAATCCTCAACAAACAACCCGGAAGTCACATCTGGGGCCTTTACCCAGAATAGGCTGTGCTGGAAATCGGGTCCAGCGTCCCAAAATCATCTGTTAATGAACAACCTACCAACTATCTATTTGTCCTCCAAAAGGTTAACCTTAAAGCTCATGAAAAGAGGGCAACAGGAAACCAGGCTCCGTTAAGTCCGTACTGCAAAGGCTGTCATATCAGAAACAATCCTATTATCCAAGCGAGTCTACTACGACTCTATTCTCAGTTGGCCCTAAAAATCCACAGATCGTCTCATCGCTATACTCAGTAGCGTTCCCTTCTCCCTGCCTCACCCTCTTTTAAGGTGGCTTCACACATTGAACAAAGGAGAGTTTGCGATCTGATGAGACTGAGACTATGCTGTTATCTTTTGCCCATGTGCGCATAAACCATGGGAGGCCCTTCCTCTTACTTCTATGACAGCCCTGCCAATCTGCCCATATAGTTCGCTGAATATTCCCTTTAATCTGATACTGTTGCTCCTGAATAACGATTCTTTTATTCCTGAAGACTTGGGCGTTTCTTGCCCTCCATATTTCTTGCACAATGATCCCCCTGCAGGCCAAGGCTACATAGCTCCAACCAGTGCTATAGTCTCGTTCTTGACGTGAAGTCCAATCATCTGTCCAGGTCCAAGAAGAGTCTGTGACTTTTTCCCAGATGTCCAACCACCACATCCAGAGCTCATCAGCGAAAGGACAACAGAGCCACAAATGCGAATTACTTTCCCATCACCAATCACACCTGCTGCACGTCAAGCTAAGATCTAATCCTTTCTGGTTTAACCAAACTGCAGTAGAAATCACTAGAAAGGATTGTAACCAAAGCAGACTCGCATCTTTTTGTGATGGGAGCCAAGCAAGTATTTTCCAAAATGCTCGCCAGTCAGGTTGACTAGATTGCTCATTCGTAGCTGTACCCAGTCTTTCTTGAAGCTGTCTGTATTGGTTTCTTAGTTGCCAATTCTCTCAGAGCCCTCATCCCCACCTTAGGCTTATAAGCCACCAGTGGGATGGTATCCAGATCTTGACCTGCTCTTTTAGGTACCTTCCAAGAAAGAGCTAAAGGTTCCACATGGAACTTAGATGCTGGACCCAGATGATGTGCTTGCTTTCCTTCTGTGGAAACCAATACTCTTGCTTCCTGCAGATGGAGAGTCGAAGATATGTTACTTTCTCCTATTCTGTTCAGTATTGAGACAGCTCCTTGTTCCCAGTCGTCAGTGGAGTGCACCATTCTTCAACTCTCACACCTGAAGTTAAGTATGGGCCCACAATCCTCCAGACCCTTCCTGGAATATTATCAGCTAAAACCCATGTACCCACACCCTGTTCCACCTCAGACTTTCAAAGGTTAGACCACGACACAGGGATTGCTGCAGTTAGTTGCTGGAGGTGTTGGTGAACTCTGCGTAGTCTTGGCAGCCTTTTTCTCAAATCCTCTTCTGAAATCCATTGATCCTTGCCGCTATCCCAAATATGCTCAACCTGTAGGACCCCTTTTTCTATCCAGGATTTACCAAAAGCCCCTCCCCCTTCTCCTGCTGGGAAGCATTGCTGGTTTGATTGCAGTATCAATGGATTATCAAACAGAACTTGGTTGGCCACTTCTTGCTTCGACGTAAGCTCATTGAAGATTCGAGGGTGTAACTTTTTCCATGCATAGATTATGTCTTGCCAAACTTGTGACTTCAGTCTTCTATTTGCAAAGGAGGGCATGAGCAGGCAAATCCACACATGGCTTGGGTCAGACAAGTTTCATTCTTGGCTGAGCACGTACTCTGCTAACTGTATCCAGAGCTTAGAATTATCAGCCAGCATACCTTTAATCGGCCACTTGGCCAACAGGGCCATGTTCTGACTATGAAGGTCCAGCAAACCAAGACCTCCCTCCGGTCTTGTCTATGTTACTGTTTCCCAAGCTACTTTAGTAATGTAGCCTTCGTCCTCTTTTGCGCCAGGTTTCCACAAGTACTTGGCAGCTGCCCTCTTGATCAATTTGTAAGCATCCTCCCCCAATCTTCTTATT